GTAGGTAAAGTAGTACACTATACCATGCTAAGGATCCACCTGTTACCTAGTACTTAGTGGGATTTTTAAGGGATTATCTATTCAGAATCACAGTGTAACAGCTTTCAGGTTAAAAAGTTTCCTGTGTTCCAGTTATCAAGTAATAATGCTGGGAAATCTCATTTTAATTTAACTTAATGAAGTGTTTTCCAAATAAAAACCACCTGATACTTTATATAAGAAATACAAATTCATTTTGGTTGAAAATAATATAATGGTATTTATCAGAAAAGAAGCTCTGGTAATTTAAGAGACTTTTTACACATTTGCCAGTGCAGAAGCCTAGATGTTTACAGAACATTCGTAAGAACAATCCTTTATCTTATCTTGTCTTTAAGGACAAGTTTAGCTTTAGGTTTTCAACAAAATGGTTGATTACTTCACTATGGAAATACTCTCACTGAGGGACACAGGGATCCACCATACGTAGCCATGTATGAAAAAGTGCATAGCTGAATTCAAAGGGGCTGAAAAATAGAGAGACATATTGGACTAAGTATCTAAATGATTAAGTGATTTTTAGCTGGATTTTTGCTCCAGCTGATACCATACTCTTTTGAAAACCCTTGTGAGCTTTGCACTTTAAACACCTTAGTCAGGTATCTGCCAGCAGAAGCCATATATCCCAGGCATCCAGGAAAAATAAGTTGTTTTGTATCTCTCACAGTTTTTGTCTAAGAATTTTCTACAATGGCCTAGGATGTTCCCGAGCTAGTTTTTCATTCCCACTTACGAACTACATAGTGGCACTCTCAGCTGCACTGATGCAACTGTTTCCGGACCCTCAGTAAAACAGTTTCAGCGAAAGGAGGATGAGAAGTCCTGTCCACATGGTGTGTCAACGCACCCTTGGGAACAGCAAGTTGGTCCCACAGTATCTCTGTTATCTGGACAGCTATAATATAGATATTTATAAAATGTGCAGACAATGAAAGCATCAAAAGCATAAAAGATTTAGGATCTGCTATAAAAGCTGCTCCTCTTCTCATCTCCCCTATGTAAGGTTGTGAATGTTTCACAACTAAGTGCATTTAGGGAGAGAACAGGTGACAGATACACAAGAGAGTATGGATTTAGGCAAAAACTGACTTCTATAGTTATGCAACTATGTATTAGTACTAATGCTGAAGGATTCTGGTAGCTTCAGAGGATTCATTCTAAATTCAGTTTTAGCTTCTTGAGAAAATGATACCATGAAATACTCAATGTAAATTTATACTGAACATGAGAAGGTGCTACAGGGCAACATGGTATGAATATCTGCTGACAGTTAAGTAGGCTTTGGTGTTTCTCTGAGAAACAACCAATCTCCCCAGCCCTGCCAGAGACGATGCACATTTCTGAAATCTCACACATTCAGAGCTACCAAAGCCATATGCTTCCTCCAAGGCAAGCACAAACACACGTGTTTGTTGAGGCTGCCAAGCACCCACACCATAAACAGGATTATCTCCTTGGCTAAAGCATAACAAATGCTACAGCAAAAGCGCACAAACTGCTTTCACAAAAACAGTATTTCTTTCATTCTTCATCTTTCTTCAGCTAAAACAGCAGACTGCTGGTTATCACTTGCCCATGTGGGACCTGATGAGGATTTCCATGGACAGTGGACCAGCTTCAACAGACCCTCCCTTTCTCTGCTGCTCACACTCACCCTTACCCATGTGCCAGCACAACTGACAGGGCAGCACCACTGTTTGTGCAGCTGCACATACCACAGAAAGCGATCCAGGCTAAAACATAACCCAGGGGGGGAAATAAAAGCTATTTTAACCTAGATCACTCCACACATCCAGTATACTATAAAGGCAAAGCCAGTATAAAGCAGAGAGACAAAGATGGCTTAAATGTCATCTCTACAGAAAGAACTGCTCCAACTGTTCAAAACTGATCACTGAAATTTACCAGCAGAAACAGTAAGTTGGGGCAGGAACACACAAGTAGCTTGGGCTGGGATTCCTCAAATCAGTTTTGTCACCAGAAGTGTGAAATTAAACATGCTGATTTTACCAGGCACCTGGCTTAAGACTGTGCTTGGATTCTCATCTTTTGCATCCTAATCTGAACACCTGACTTTAAGCTCTTTGGCTACCGGTGAAAGGAGTTCATCTTTTTAATGACACATAGACAACCTCTGAGACTGCTGAAACAACCTGTGTTCCTTTTCTCCTTCCTTTCTTCTGCTTTTAAACATTCCTCCTGACTTCCCTACCAAATCACAGTATAATAAGAAACATCTCCAAAAACCACAGTTGACAGCATAGTCAGTCTTCATTTTACTAGGCTGCAGCAAAGTCACAACTACTATGAGAAGCACTGGTGTTATCTAGCTTAAATTGAATATCTTAAGTGAACGTCCATCAGTGCAACACTGTCTGAAAGGATCTCTTCATAGTTATATATATTTAAAACTAC